GGATATTGTAAAATCTTGTTATATGTATCGACATGGAGGCTCTAATATTTCTATATTGGAGTGAAGATGGATTTTAGACAGTTTATTATTTTCTTTTCTATTTTAATACTGTATAGTAGATTTCTGTAAACTTTGCAATGTGCTTAGAGAATAGGCTGAGCTAAATTCAATAGGTTGAATTTGGTAAATATTAGTTCTCTCTTATTGCTCTTAATGAATTTAATCTTTTTTTAATGCTTTTGTATAATATAATCATGAAAGTTTGATTATATTTTTGTTTTGAAATTTCTTTTATTAGTATTATAATTTTGCTATAATTATTATAATAATTTATTTTTTGGGGATTTATAGAGCGCATATAAAAGTAATAACCATAGCCTCAGAGCGCTTGTGTGTAACATAGTCATTAGATACTGCATCAATCGTACACAATGTGCCACCTTTGCCCACTGGGGAGTGTTCTTGGTCATTACTACTTTAAGGTTTATTCAAAGTCATTTACATCCTAAGTTCCATACTCCTTTATTCTCTTAGATGGAGAGTAACTTTCCAGGACACTATCATTATCAGTGTGACCAGCATTGGGCTTGAACCCACACCCCTTATTGAAAGCCGGGAGCCTTACCACTGCACCACATGTTTCCTCATGTAATGATGATAGTAATAATATTTACAAATGTAATAAATTAATTTCAAGTATATAGGACAACATTTATACTAAAATTGCCATGTGAAAGAACCTGGTTGACTCAGGTGTGCATGTTGCTCACTATAAAAACAACAAAGATGGGGTACGTGCATAATATGTGTATCATCAATATATTTAATGAAGGAAAATTTAGCTTAAATGTATTTAGATATCTATGTTGAAAGTAAAGTAAATTTGATTTGGTTGTTTTTTTTTTATCAAAAGGCAACATTAACATGTTTATCTAGCAATAATGTGGCGGTTCTTTATTTACTCAAAATGTTCTCGCATGTCGATTGTCGTCAAGTCACCATAATAACAACAAAGATGGCAGCATGTTTAATAAAGGAACATTTCAGTGACTGTCCAGTGTAATATGTCACCTACAAATATTTAGTATTGGAGGCTATTAAACCATGGATTAAACAAACAAATATAGATTTGTGTGAATTAGGACAGAATATATTTAAATACCAGATGGAAGCTTGATATTCATCTGCATTATCGGGTTTCGAAAGGTTGTCCGCTGTAAATAAATCTCTTGTCATTGGTCAGTTTAACGGTCATTGATTAACAGCCATTTTACATTACTAAGATTAAATTTATTCGAAGTTTAAACTATCAGGCATTTGGTCCATTCAGAAGAATGTAGGAATTTATGATGTATCCATTATTTGACGAACTGTTTTCTCATCTAATCTTTAATGAGAGCTCAAAATTTAAATATTCAAAAAACAAACAGAATTCTGAATTATTCACCCCAGTTCTTTTAGGTCTACACAGATAATACTTAAGTATTGAGTATATTAACCAGGGCTTGGTGGCCAGGCAGTTCTATCATGAATTATTGATTATAATTTTATGGTTATGTATTGCAAAGTTATCAAGCGAAAAATGTGAAAGCTTGTTTATTATGCATAACATAAACAGCTTTCAAATCATCGCCATGGTAGCTATACAAAGGACTATCTCTGAGCGGTTGCCAGAGCTGGCACATTTAGAATGCGTTGGTGTCATCTCTGCTCACATTTGTTGATCTGCTTTTCTTATGTTTTTCTTATTCACACTTGCCCAATTAATAGAATATCAAAGGTCAATTTAACGATATCTTTGGGTAGATGTTAAGCAATCCGAGACTTGACGCTTCAAGGAGAATTTATACTTTGAATATTATTAACATAATTGCGATACAGATTTTCATTGGTGTGTTTTCGTAAAGATATTAAAGGAATTACTATTTCAGTTACTTTAGGATTATTTGTTCACATCTATTCATATAAAATCATGCTATACAAATCCTATACAATTTAATATTCAATGCTTTTTGTGTGTTTATATAGCCAACAAGGAACACCCATTTATTATTATTTTATCGTCGTTATTGTTATTGCTTTATTGTTAAAATTTTTACTTTTACATAATTATTTGTTATTACTATTGGTTTTTTTTATTGATATTTAATATTATTAAAATATTAATGAAATAGAAAAAGAAATGAGCCAAAAGAATAGAAACTCAATTTGTTTTTATAGTACTACTATGATTATTATATATAAAATTGTTAATATAGACATAATTCCTTGATTAAGTGATCACGATGTAGTTGAGAAAGTTGTGGCCGCAGAACCTTCTCACTTTCAGAAATCTCGCCCGAAGGCTACAATTCTTTCTCAACATATTGATTATCACGAGGGAGCACTCTCTCTAGTGATCACACCTGGGCCCAATGTAATACATTCACATGATATATTATACTCAAATCAATCAGAGAACCTTGATGTTTTTACATGAGTGTTGATAATATTTACCTTGAAAAAAACAATCATAATAATTATTTCCTTCCGATTAACAGACGCATGAATAATATCGTTTCTATATTTCTTTTCATAGACCCTTAAATTGCTAGTGGTCAATTTAAAGCCAGGCTGTTGTACAATTTGCGTAACCACCCTTTTTTCCACAAATCTGTATCTCAATAACAATTCTCAAGTTTTTTATCAGACATCTTTTTTGTTTAAAAAAAAAACCAGTTTTTTCCTCCGTAGCTAAGCTTTAAGGATAGTAATTTAAAACTTATGTAAATAAGCCAAAACTGATTTTTTTTTTTTTTTTTTTTTTTTTTTTTTTTTTTATAAACAATTCCAGTGACTGGAAGTGTTTCTATGATTTTTCGCTGTAAAATTTTGAGTAACATTTTTTAAACACATTAATTTCTATGTTCAATTTGATAATTTATTTCCAATAATGATTTTTTTAAAATATTTTTTTGTAAATTAGTGCAAGATAGTTTCCTGAGGGATAACATTTCAGTGAGCACATACTATTATCTCTATAAATACCTTTCATATTTATCGTAAACTCTGATGAATTTCAATCGTAAATGTCCACCAATCACGTTGTATGAACAGCGTAAATTTGGAATTCTCTATTTTGACTTAATCTGTCAACCTTTAAGCGTGTATACACTCAGAAAACTGTGAACAATTTCTATTTCAGTAAATCTAGCACGCATATTAGTCGCATTAATACATCACCAATTGCTCCCTTCTTTAATAAAGTCTGCTATTCTGGTTATATTCACCTCCGTCGTGCCTCAGAAGTAGACTGAAGTGATTAATATTGACATATTTGAGTAATTGGTTTGATTCAGCTTTCGTATGCACGTCAGAACTGAATAAGTCAACAAAGAATCTGTTGTGTGACCATTGATTACATAAAGTTATGATATCCCTGTTGTAGAGTTTATTTGATAGTATAAAGTCATACAGTTTTATTAAAGATTTGTAGAGATCCATCTTCGCTATGAGATGATACAGTTAATGGTTGTTATGAATTTTATCAATACTTTAGGTTGATATTTTAAATTTGATTTTTTTTTTAAACAAAAAACATGAGCATATTTGGAAAGAACATGATACAACAACACCTATTCAGAAACTAACTTGTTATATATTTGTTTCATTACAATGGTGTCACTCAGTATAACATTGTTTATCATAATTTTGTTTCACTTAAAATATGATTTGAAGCCTGTAGAGACTATCAAATTTTACTTAAAAAAACATGTGACATGCCTAAATATGGTCATGATGACATCACGTCATGGCCATATATAGGCACATCATGACTATATATGGGCACATCATGACTATATATGGGCACATCATGGCTATATATGGGCACATCATGACTATATATGGGCACATCATGACTATATATGGGCACATCATGACTATATATGGGCACATCATGACTATATATGGGCATGGAACATTTTTTGTCAAAGAAAATTTGATAGTGTGAGCAGGGCTTTAAGTGCCATATAGACCGTGATTGTATGGGAGATGATTTATGGTGAATAAAGATTTGGATGAGGATGAAATGTAGCTTGGTGGTTGAGATGCTTGTCTTGATGCTTAAGATGATTCTAGGTTCAAATCCTGTGTCAGTGCAGGATAGTTTCTCGTAGTTGATAAACATCTCCACTCCCTAAAGTTTTTAAAGAATATTTTCATTTATGAAGTTCGCCTTTGAATATCAGCTGAACCTCTAGGATAAAAATGGTAAGAAAACATTTTTTGGCGGTCTGTGCTGATTGTAGTTAAAGGCGGTCTAACGTACCAACTCTTGGTATCATGGAATAGTGTTTGGCTGTGACGTAGAGTGCATCAGGCTTCAGTGGCTTGGCTTCCAATTTAATGGTTTACTGGCTGATTTGATGGATGGATACCTTTTGTTTTTAATTGACTTTGTTTACAATTTTTATACAGTTGACACATCTGATATCACATAATTATATGTTTAATCAAATTCAAAATCTGAATATACATAGTTAATCATTATGATTATATAAACAAATATAATAATTATAACTGTCATAATAAGTATGATACCTGTATCGTAATGATACCTGTATGTAACATGACTACACATAGTAATTAATGTTTAACGTTCCATAAAACGCTACCCCATCGCTACAGTGTTTTCACTGCAATAACAGCTAGCGCATTCGGGAAGACTCCTCGACTCAACCAACCAATCAGTGTCGACGAAAGCTGTTGGTGATATCATGTAGTAATTTTATGGAAATCGGGGTTAACATGTTGTCTGTTTCTGGGTTCAAATCTTCCTACTACTTTCTTTTGCTTTTGGATGAGAATGAAGCAAATAACGTCTCTGAGTCTGTCAGATAATCAGATTTATTTCTTATTAACTGTCAAACTAAGATATATGATATGATAATTTATATTAAGAATGACATGTTTTTAGATAATAATTACATTTTATCTTCTTTTTTTTTGCCTCCTTGCAGTCACTCGAGAGCACGAGACGTATGCTCACACTTGTGGAGGAGGTAGGTGTATATCTTTGTGTTACATTGACAAGTGAAGTCTATTTCTGTATCTCTGTGAAATATTTTTCCTAGTCTTAGCAGTAAAGATGAGGTATAAACAACACTCTATTGACTAACGAGCTTTCATTAAAGTTTAGTTTGTAAAGGGTCTTGTTATCCTATCTTTATTGTTACTTTAAAGTTATAGCTGTCTAAATAATGTTAAATGTTTAGTAGAAAGTTTTGAATAACCCATTGTATTTTGTAGTATTTTTAAAATATAATATGTATATTAATATAATATACATATTTTGATATGTTTAATTTTGTTTGTTTCCAAAAATTATAAGTAGTAGATTCTTTGGGGAAAAAAATTATTAGATATTAAGGTAATACAAACATTAAAATACAAAATTATATACACATATCTCTTTATCTTACAGTTATTTGTATTAATGAAATTAAACATAATTGGTAGTATAATTACTATTTTACTGTAATGTTTGCTTTTATTTTTTTGGTTATTTTAAAGTTATTTTATTATAATTATTGTTAATATTTTTTCAGAACAAACTAAGACTAATGTAGAAACTAATGACAAAGAGAATGATACTTAGTAGAAGGTTTCTTTCCATTATTCACTTTAAAAATCTAGATTATGAATTATAAGAAAATTCAATTCTAAATGTCAAACCAAGTATATTGTAATTTAACAAGTAATAATAATATTTATAATAGGCGCAAATAAACAAGTATCTTAAAGCGCTATGTTCAAGTAAGCAAAAGGCAAGGTGAACATAATGAAAAAGCAAAAAAAGTGATGCAGGAGATACAAAGAAGAAAAAAAAGAATAGACTTGATAAAGTAATACTTAGCCCCATAAAATTATTAGGTTGTTGCACAAGCTGGTCTGTTTGCCAGGCAATCAGGCTTTGTTTTATTTTTTTCATCCACAATAAAGTCACTCAGGAAAAAAACACATTCTAAGACATCACAAAGAAATGTTACATTACAAAACTACACGTACAACTCGTAAGACAGCCTGAACCTAGATACAATGTAATTCACATATACATACATTCAAGTGCACTGTATATACCCTATGATGACGTTAATATAGACTTTTGCTACGGGTACCCTTGCACTTTTAAACCCTTGGACATAAAATGATCAATCATAATGCAAGCATTCCTAAGTTACCGCATTTATTCTCGAGAAAAAAATCTAAATATCCCTTCAAGACATCCGTATAGGAAAATGTTGCAGCTGTAATTTTTCAAAGAGTTAATCCACAATCTGTTCAATTAACCCAGTTTTACCCAGAGCAATAAGTGGTATACAGATAATTGATACATCTAATTCTTTAAGTTATACCTGACAAAAAGATCTTTTGCTATTGGATTTTCATAACAAATTTAAGATATACAAATTATGTTAATATGTTAAAATATTGGAAATCAAATAAAAAAGCAAAAGAAAAATGACAATGTTGATAATAATTCCAATTTGAATACAATTCCCTGCTACTATGAACATGAATATATATTGAGAATTTGTTACGGCAGAGGTGAGGGAAATTTGCTAAGCATTTTCTGCAATAATTCAGGTACATTATATGATGATTATGCTGTATGCACACCCCAATGATTTGTGCTAAGTGATTCCAGCCCATGCACTAATATATCAATAGATGAAATGATGTCAGGTAGTATCATAATAACCAACCTTGAAATGGTTACAACAGATGATGTTAATTTGTGGTTTAACCTGGTATAGGAAACTTGGTTAACATCAACCAACCTGTTTCACAATAATGAAGTTGCATTGAACCAGTTAAAGTTAACCCAGTTTACACTATAAATGTTATGTTATGTTATAAATATAAATAATGTTATAAATATAAATAATATTATAAATGTTATGTTATAAACTTATGTTGTTAGAATATAAAATTAGAAAGATAAGAAAGAATTTATAAAAATAAAAAGATGAATGCAATTTCAAAACTACCCTTTTCATATCCCCTCGATTAATCCAACTGTGCAACATTTTGCACTGTCTTGAATTATTTCAGACTTCACGTGGATATTGATGAATATTTTAATCTTAATAATAGTCATCAGCATTCGGAGCTACTCATTTATGCTAACATAGATCATAACAATCCATTAAACACTAGAAAAGCATATGAAGAAAATCACAAACCTAAATAAAAAAGTATAACAATAATTATGTAAATATGCCTGGTGCTGTTTTTTTTCCAGGCTCTAGTCCTGGGTTGCAGGTGGTTATCAGAGCTCCAGTCCGAGGTTCCAGGTGCTCATCCAGGGCTGTATTCCAGGGTTGCATGTGCTTATCCTCAGCCCCAGTCCAAAGTTCCAGGTGCTCATCCAGGGCTTTAGTCCAGGGTTGCAGGTGCTTATCCGGGGCCCTAGTTCAAAGTTCCAGGTGCTCATCCAGGGCTTTAGTCCAGGGTTGCATGTGCTTATCCGGGGCCCTAGTCCAAAGTTCCAGGTGCTCATCCAGGGCTCTATTCCAGGGTTGCATGTGCTTATCTTCGGCCCTAGTTCAAAGTTCCAGTTGCTCATCCAGGGTTCTAGTCCAGGGTTGCAGGTGCTTATCCAGGCCCTAGTCCAAAGTTCCAGGTGCTCATCCAGGGCTCTAGTCCAGGGTTGCAGGTGCTTATCCGGGGCCCTAGTCCAAAGTTTCAGGTGCTCATCCAGGGCTCTAGTCCAGGGTTGCAGGGACTTATCCAGGGCACTAGTCTGAAGTGTTCCGTGTTTTCATCTACTTTGTGAGGCTTAGGATGTTCTTTTCAGTCTTAAAAAATAAATTCCTGGTTTCTAACAAGATTGAACTGACCTTAGAATTGAAAGAAGCATCTTAACTTTTAACCACACCTCCATTCATATGCGTCCTCGTTTATTGAACTTGAAGGCATCTTGGCATGACTACGATACAGCAGTGTGAACATGTGACCAGGCTATACACGAGATTAACAATCCTCATAACTTACTAAAACCATGTGAAAACACAGGCACCGCACTTTTTATGGGAAGTGCTTCATTGCACATTATCCTCTAGGTGTCAACATAGATTAATACTTAATTGCATGTATACGCACAATGGAAAATAATATTCAGAATTATGAATATGTGATTCCGATTTTGGTTGTCACCAATAATTTAATACACATGCACAACTATAGTGGTACAAATGGAAATGGAAAATAACATTACACATAATTCTGGCATCAACCAATTGTCACACTGCACTGAGGCTACCCCAGAACCGCAGGGACCCAGCCCAAATTTCTTAGTTATTTGACTATGATAGCTTTTTTCCTTTACATTTTTAAAATAAAACAATTCTTGGTGTAATAGGAACAGCATATAAATGACTTCCTCCCTCTGATATTATTTTAATTTCACAATGCTATGTTTATTAATATTGGCATGTCATCATATCTCAATAGTTCAGGGGTTAACATGCTTGCCTTCTGATCCCAGGGTCCTGGGTTCAATTCCCGTCACAGCAGGATGTTTTCTCACGATTAAAATCAACTCCACTCCCTAAGCCTCAATAAGAGACTTATAAAGCATCATTCTCATCTTGTAAGTGGCAAGTGTACTTGCAGGTTGATGTGAAGGAAATAAAAAAAAAATCCAAGATTATCGCTGAGAAAAATATAGTAAAATAATGAACACTTTTACCATAAAAACAAACTAATGTAATAGATTACTAAATTAGGTAATTATTATTATTTAAATTATTATTTATAAACTAATAGTTTATAAATTAAGATAATTTGGTTATGAACATGTCTTATATTGTTTATTAAAATTATTTCATATTGTAGCACACAGAGATACACAGTAAGTTGGATTATATATTGTGTTATGAAAGGATGAAAATATTCAATATATTCAATCTCAAAATATAATATGTTTATTAAAAAGTATTTAACGAGAATATTATCTTTAGTTCTTAATAGTAATAACATTTGCCATTTACTTATACTCATTTTCAGATGGGTGACCAATAATACAATGCTTATCATGTATAAAGCTTTAAAAATATATAGTTGTTTATGTTCAAAGTCATCTCTAAAATTTTATAATGTGATTTTAACTTTGACGCCTTAACATAATGTTAACGCTTTGATCAATGCTATATGATGTTATGTAATACTATATGATGTTATATAATGCTTAGAGCCAAGATGTTGGTATCAAGACACTTGTTATGCTGGATGAGCAGGGAGGTAAGAATAGAAGGCAGCTAGCCAATTGGAAGCTGCCTATCGATGATGTCACTGCTTGGCCAACACTCATTGGTTGAAAGTTTATCATGTGTACATCCACCCTCTGGTATGAAAATTTGTAGCTCCATCATTTTGCACAGCATATACTGATGAAAACCATAGTCTCTTGAATATAAATATTATATATATTCACTTATATTTCTATGATCTGACTGCCCATTGCTTCTTTCCAGTTTTTTCTTGTTCCATCCTTTGTATGGGAAGCCTGTTTGCATTATTTATGTTGTTTTTTTACATGTTTACTGTTTTTATCTGACACTTTACTGTATATACCTTTTTTATATTCATTTCTCCTTCACTTCTCATGCATACTACACTTACAATTTTACAAAAAACATTACCAAATCTTTTCCTATACAGACTTTTGTCTCAAATTATATCTTACCACAAATGAAGGGTTAGTTTTCTCCAAAATACATGTACATTATGCCCAACAGTTTCCATTTATAAAATCATACAGAATGTTAGATTTTGTCTAACAGTAAAACCCCTTTTTATTTACAGTTATTTTGTCTAAATAATAAACACTCATTTGAACAAATAAGCATCTCATTCATATTTCCTTTGGCATCAGAGTCATTCACGTAGGCGTTGATATCTCGTGTAAAAATACAATTAATTACTTTCAACCCTTTTGGTTTTCCATTACAAATTTTAATTTGTTTAAGGAGTCACCAAAAAAAGTAACATTTTTTGTAAGATGCATCAAAAACAGTCTCTGTTTAGATAGTGGAAGAGAGCATTTATTGTTTTGAGAGAAATTATTATTGTGGAGGTCATTTGTACAGACAATAAGTAAACCTTGACAAGGCTTTTACAAGCCCAAGCGGCCTCTGCTAGGCTGCCTTAAAATCCACCTATCATTTGTGCATACTGAGTTTCTCACAGTAGTAATCAATACATGTTATCGACGTTTTGTCATATAATATACACTTGAACGCTATGGCTGACATGCGTTCTGGTGGTTGTTATAATAACTACAAGCTTCTGTAACCATACTTCTTTTTAAACTTCTGATAATTAAGGATGCTCTGATAGTTGTCAGTATAAACAAAATTGAAAACTTATTTTTTTAAATAAAAGGTATAATCCTTAGATAATGATATTATATATTTAAAGTAAAATATCTGCTTTTAAATATTTATTATAGTTGTATTTTGTTAAATTATGTATATTTTATCTATAATTTATAAATTTGTAATTTTATTTCCAATTACCTTTGTTGCTTATAATAATACTGAAGTATATTACAATTTATTTTAATCACAAATGTGAGTAATCTTTGATAAACACAATCTAATATTATTAAATTTGTATTTTTATTGTGTATTATATAATACTTTGAGAAAAATCTTAATGGAGCCTCATAGCCCAGTAGATCAATCTAGTTCTCTTTAATATAATATTGCTTATGGGGACTAAATACGGTCATTCAATTTAATTTGCCAAAAATCCACATATTTTAAGGTAGATATTTTTCAAAGAAGGAAAACTTATTGTAATATATTCACTTAATGTAGTATAGTATGGTTTATGCTAATGTGAGCCTCTAATGGAGTCTTATAGCCCAGTAGATCAACCTAATTCTTTTTAATATAGTATTGCTTTAAATGGTGACTTAACTAAAATACGGTAATTTAATTTAATTTGCCAAAAACCAACATATTTTAAGGTAGATAGTTTTCAAAGAAGGAAAAATGATTGTTATATTCACTTAGTGTAATATAGTATGGATTATGCTAAGTATGAGCTATATATACTTTAAATAGGTAAATTACTTTATCATATGTGTATATATACTAGTAGACATAAAAAATGTCTATGTTATGTAATGCA